CATCATATAGTGAAATGAGTGCTTCAGAAGCGGTGACGCCCAGCGTGTGTCATGTTGGTGGCCCATGGTCCTGGGTACCAGTCACGTGGCAGGTGAATCGGGGCCCAGTGTGGGCACGGAGCCAACATTTACCTGTTTCAAGTGGCTAATGGTCGCGGTGCCGTTTATTTTAAAAGTGTGTTTTGTAGTTGGGGAAATGTCTGGCATGTGGGTTACTGCAGAGCAAGCCTTTCTGCTGTTGTCCACGGCCCGGGGAACAGACCATCAGGCTAGAGGAAGGAACCGAACCCCACCGCCAGCGGCACCCACGCCTGCTCAGTGCAGCAGGTCAGAGAAGGCCTGCCGACCCGGCAGGGTCGGGGTTGGTGGAAGAGGAAGTGGACGTGGGCTGTTACGTTCACTTTCGTCTTTGCCGATCACAAGGGACACTGACCGTCCAGCACCCGGCGCCGGGCACACTGCAGTGGGAGGCCGGGGAAGCCTGGGCCTCTGTGCTGCTCACAGGTTGCCTGCTGACGATCATTTATTTTCCTGCCCAACAGGCCTTCCCGCATACAAGGGGTCTGTAGCAGGAAGGGGTAAAAGCTCAGAAAACCCTGATTTTCACGAAGAACCTTTCCTGCTGTGTTCGTACCTCCCGGTGCATTTCCAGCCAACATTCTCTTTGCAGGGGGCTGTTTCCCAGTCCAGGCCTGGATTTCGGGGTCTTTTTCCTTTCCGAGGATGGCAGCCCTGCTGACACCCTGGTCCAAGAGGTGTGGACCGATCGGTCTCCTGCTGCTTCTCTGGTTCTGTCCTCCGTCTCCTCCCTTCGCCCCGGCACGCAGAGCTGCGTCTTCCCGAGGCAAGAGCCAGTTTTAGGTAGAAATAAGATGCTTCAGGGAGCGGCATGATGACTGAGGAGATGGCTCCCAGTGCACAAGCCCTGCACTTTACCAGGGAACGAAGGAACTTCTCCAAATGAGATCATGGGAAAACGTCCGCTACTCAGAATAACGGGACGGAAGTCCTTTCGTTGTACGAGTAACGATTTCCCAGCTGATACATTTTCTGTGTCCAGAGCCGTGTGTAACTGTTTTAAATAAATACAACTTTAAATCTCTGCCGTTATTACACCACAGAGCGTACCACACTGCACTCTCAGAGGTCCCCTAAAAAGCAGTTCGTCACGCTCAGCGTGGGATTGGTATTTTAGGAGTGTGAACACCTTGTAAAGCCACTCCTAACGCCAGGACTGCATGAACAAATGCAGCTGGGAGCTCGCCCCATGGAGACCGAGAGGCTGCGTGCTTGCTTCTCTGCCACATTTCACGGTCACAGGAGGAAGGGACCGTGCCCCCTGATTTACAGCGACACCCCGGCAGAAGCCACATCTGGAGTTTTGGTGCTGAGTCACCATACTCCCCGGACAACTTAGACTTAAAAAGCTATCATTTCCCCTGAACCTTAACAGTTGAAACGTCAGTTCTGCCGGGCCCCACGCTCAGCACCACGGTGAGATTAGATTACACCTCTTGTAACAGTTGATGTAAACGGAGTGGTGTCTGGGGCTGACCTCTCGGCTTTCCTTTTATTACTTCCGTTTTCCTCTGACCACGTTGGGTGACTTTGGGTAAAGTCAGGTCCTGGCTCAGGTCACTTCTCTCCGGTCTGACGCAGGTACCGCCTGGCTGGCCTCCCGGGGACGCACCAGCAGAGGAACATCACCAGCCCGGAGGTCAGCTACTGCCTGGTGACGGAGCTGATCATCTGGACCCAGTATGAGATTCAGGTGGCTGCGTACAACGGGGCGGGCCTGGGCGTCTTCAGCAGAGCGGAGACCGAGTACACCTTACAAGGCGGTAAGCTTGCTCTCCCTAAGGCGGCAGCATCTTCGCTGCGGGGCAGGGTTTGCAGAGTTTAATTGGAGCAGGTTAAAAATTGAGACGGAGGGTTTGGTCCTCTGGGAAGGAATTAGGAGATTAATCACGTATTTAATCTCTCCATTGATTCCAAAACCATCGCAACACTGTAGAAGGAAACGTGCTGTTGTAACTGCTTTTTTCTGGTCACTAAGGCCAGGACTTTAAGTAGCCCGCTTGTTCTTGAAAAGTTCTGTGGGGTTGAATTCTGTCGATTTTTTTCTAACGGGATAAGAGTGTGTTTTGCAGTAAAGCTGGCCGTGGAGTCCCGTGTGAAACTGTGAGTGGTTTTCAAAAGAGGAAGA